TTTTCTACATTAGCGGACCCAGTAAAAAATGTTGCAAGTACGGAATTGCTTTGGACAAACCTCTTATCTTCGACAAACCTTTTTTTATAAGTGAAGAATGGGCTTAGAGAAGCTTAGCAATTGGAGGAAACTCTGTAAAAAACCAAAACTTTGTAACAAGGATAAGAAGACGGATGACTGAAGAGTAGCCATGAAGGTGAACCCTAGGTTAGAAAGCTTTTAGTATTGTACTTAATTGTGCTCAAATTTAATAATAGTATATATAGTTCTAGTTACTCCTCTCTAGTACATTGCCACTCAAACTAGTTTGGTAGGTACATTATTAGTGTGTTATGTTAATGTCTATGTTCAAAAATTGGTTAGCCGATAATCGGACGGTTGGATAAGGTCTAGCACCTTTCGATGGATTTATATATTTTTTATGGCAAATTCATTCATCGAGTCACGATTGTCCAGTGGTAAGCCACATGGTGTTAACACTAAGGTGGGGGGGGTTCGATTTTCTACTTTTGGTTAAATTTTTAAATTTCTCTTTAGCGAATGGCAAAACCGGAAAGTTTTGTTTTGTTTGGGGTTTCAGAAAGGCCCATCGAAATTAAAGCCCATCCCAAGTAAACTCTCTCATTCGCAGGCACACATTCCTCCTAACCCTAATTTGCCTTTGCCTTTGATTTTGATTTTCTCTCGAATCTCTTTCCGCTTCTCCAGTCGATACCATGTCATCTCCTCCGGTCGATACTACCGGTCGGTACCACGTCATCTCCTCCGGTCGGTACCACGTCATCTCCTCCGGTCGATACTACCGTCGAAACCACCGGGACAGATCTCTCTCTCTCTCTCGAATAGCCCACGTTTGATCTGATTTTTTATGGTTGTTCCCTGTAATTGAAAACCTTACTCGCAGGGCCTTGCACACGTGTATTCTGGGACCTTATGGATTTCCCATTACCTAATCCTGATCCTTGTGACACTTATAAGAATATGAATTCTATTCTCGAGAAGATGGGTTTTCTTGGTGAATTGTCAATCATGGCGTATGTCGATCAGGAAGACTTTCCGGATCATTTGCTCGATGAATATAAGAGTGGCGGAATCACCATCATTCACCATCCCCAACAAGGTGAGTGAAT